TCTTCTTTCTGAGACAGGGTCTTACCAAGTAACTCTAGCTAGCTAGCCTGGACTTTTCTATGTAGACCAGGCTGGCCCAGAACCCACAGAGGTCTGCCTGACTCTACCTTCTGAGTGCTAGGATTAAGAGTGTGTGCCCCTACACCCAATACTTCTGATCTTTTTGAATCAGACCTAGGAGTCTGTTAGGGTATAACTCTTACCTATGCCACAGAATTGGATGGAACCATAGTAACACTTTGGATTTGACCAATGAAGATGAAAGCTTCACTCTGGTGAATGTAGAACAATGAATAGGTGTATCTAGATATTCAAAGGAGGATAGCCTTAGCCACAGCTTTACTAAGAACCAAGAAATCTAAACTAGGATACAATTTGTTAAGAATAGAGAAAGAGATGAATTACAAAAGTTGCTGTCTTCATAGGTGCTATAAACTGGCATATTTAGTCCTACCAATAATCTATGCGGAGCTGGGTACAGTGACACCTATAATCCCATCACTTGAGAGGCTGAGGTAAGAGGATGCAGACTTCAAGGCCAGACTGAGTTAGAGTCCCTGTCTCAAACAAAACATGAGGTAGCTGTGACTGCTATCCACGATAGATGACAACATCTAGCCTGTAACCATTGTCACTTACTGAAGGCCAGGGGGAGCCTGACTACCCAGGCCTGCCCGGTAAGGACGTTGGATTTTATGTGAAGGCAATGGAAGCCCTGACAAGTCTGGGCAGGCCTTGGCCTAGTGCAAGCTTCCTGAAAGGCACTCAGCCGTGTGGAAAGCTGCAGGATTTGGAGAAGATCCTGCTTGTCTAGCTGGTCAGCGTGAAGAAAAGGGGGTTGGGTTTATGTTTATTTTGGGGGGACTCACTCAGAGGAAGAATGTGAGCAGTGAAGAGAATAAAGATTCAAGGTGGCGCCCCCAAGGTTTGGCTTAAGGCAGGAAAGTGTCGGCAGTGCCCTGCACGCGTGCACGTTATGGGTGAACTACGACTTTTGGCAGGGGTGACTGAGTTACAGTGAGGTTGGTGAGAAGCAGAGCTGAGAAGAACTTGTGAGAGGAATGAGTCAGTGGCAAAGGAGATAAATGCAAAAGGCGAGTGAGGTGAGTGACAAGGAAAAACCCTGGGAAAAAAAAGAAAAGAAAAAAAAAAGAAAAAAGAAAAAAGAAAAAACCCCGGGGCAGGCAAAACTTTTGAAAATCTAAGATGTTACATTATTAAGATTTGGTAATCATTCCTTCCTTTGAAATTCACTCTTCCTTTCCCCACAGGTTTTGCCTGTGAGATCTTTTGCTCTGTCTGACTAACCTTGCTTAGAAGGTAGCTCCTGGCCCAAATGTTCCTACCACTAGGGCATTCTTTGTCTTTCATCCTTTGAGCTCCTGTGGGATCTCAGAGCCCCCAGATGTTGACCTCATCACTCGGGGTCAATATCTATTTGTTCGATCTCCGGTAAAGTCACTGTTGAACTCCCCACATGTACATCAAATACAGACTTCAGTGTACAGATCTTGATCAAAGGGGACCAGAAAAAAGAAAATGCTGGGTGGTTACAGACAAAGGGACAAAGGGGAAGAAGCTGGAGGTGCTTGTACGTGACCTAGTGGAAGATAGTCACACCCCCATTGATAGGTGGCATGGATAACTTAGGAGTTAGCAGCAGCCGCAATGGAATGGGGCTGGTTGGTTGAGTGGGTGGCGGGGTTGCCAGTCTCTGCTGGCTCAGGCCCTGCCCCCACTACAACTGTAATGGAACCAACCAGCCCAGGAGCTGTACCCAATCAGAGTCGATAAAGAGATTAGGCAGCTTGCTGTGCCATATTCATTCAGGCAGGAAAGTAAACTCTTATCTTAGAAAGTTCTTCCCTTTTCTAAATAAGGGTTGTCTAGCGAATGATTCAGTGAAAGAGAAATCTGATGAATCACAAAAGCTCCATTCTCCAGATTTTTTTATCTACTGTAACCTGTCAGGAGCTTTGGAATGACTTAACAAGTAGTACTGCATTTCTGGAAATGGGGGCGGTATTTGAGGGAGTTTCTGTTGTTTCTTTGCATGTTTAAGACAGGGGCTTACATGTAGTCCTGGTTGGCATGAAATTTGCTATGTAGACTATAGTGGGCCAGAACTCACAGACTTTTGCTTGCCTTGGCCTTGAGTGCTGAGATTACAAATAAAATAAATACAAATAAAATAAAATAAAGTTAAAATGCTCTTAACAGATAAAATCCACATGGTGTCTGGGTTTACTTCAAAATAACAGAAATGAAGGTAAGGTGGATGGAAAGTAAACTGGCCCTGAGCTGACCACTGGAATAGACCATGCTCACTGCATGTCCACTTCTTCAGTATCCACCACTGTATGTATGGGAAATCTCATCTGAAAGACGTGTCCAAGCGCCAGGTGTGGTGGCACACACCTTTAATCCCTGCACTTGGGAGGCAGGGGCGGGGGATCTTTAAGACCATCCTTGAGTTCCACCACACCCAGAGTGAGACCTTCTCTTGAAAAAATAAAAAGATGGTGGTGGTGGCACACGCCTTTAATCCCAGCACTTGGGAGGCAGAGGCAGGTGGATTTCTGAGCCTGGTCTACAGAGTGAGTTCCAGGACAACCTGGGCTATACAGAGAAACCCTGTCTCAAAAAACAAAACAAACAAACAAACAAACAAAAGTTTAAAAAAAATCTGTAATTCCATTCCAGGGGAAGCGATGCCCTCTTCTTGCCTCCTTGGGCACCAGGCATGCAATGTAGTACATACAGATACACCTATACACATAAAAATAACCTTTAAAAACATTTATTAGTTTGTGTATAGTTTTTTTTTCCATATACATGTGTACCCATGCACGCCTGGTGCCCTCAGAGGTCATGAGCTGCCATGTGGGTGCTGGGTAGCCAGTGTTCTTAACCATTGAGCCAACTTTCCAGCCCAAATAATCAATTTTTTTAAAAAAAATAAAGCATTTTAAAATTTCCTATGTAAGCATAATTGATATCCTCTGTAGCCTGGCACTTTTACTTGCTAACTGCCAACCTCCCTTCTGAAATTCTAACTCAGAAGTCTTTCTTCTTTCACCATTTCTGGGAAAGGCAGGTGGGGTGGGCAGTGAATAAGCCTGGGGCTAGAGTTCATCCAGTTTACCTAGGCCCCTGCTATGTGCTAGTTGTGTGCTGGGTACCAGTGAACAAGAGGCAATGGGTCTATGCCCTAATGGGCTGTGAACTTCATGGGGAAGAAACACTGATCTTAAACACACAGGTATTCTGAGGAACACGGGACATTTTGAAGTCAAATGAATTGGAGGGAAAACTAGAACTGATCTCCTGATCAAACTACTCTCAAAGAAAGATCCGGAGGGGAAAAATGAAAGGAGCCAGAAAAGGGAGTTAAGATGGGGAAGAGGCTTAGGAAGAGAAAATGTGCCCTGGGGGAGTCTTTGGAGAATAAACTGCCAAGCATGGCATGTGCCAGGAACCACAAAGAACAAAGATGCAGTCTCAGAGGCAAGCAGGTGCCATACGGATGGGATGGGGAAAGGACTTGATGTTAGGGCGTGCAGGTTTCTCTGGAAAGCTGGACACAGGAGTGACATGAGTCATAGCTTTGGGTCCCTACAAGTCCCACTGTGAGGGAGAGACACATAGACTGGGTTGGAGTATACATTTTGTGTGCCAGCTGGAAAATGATATAACCAGGCATGGAATGATGACGGTAGGATGAAAAAGAGTGTACAGATCTGGGATCGAAAAGGTAAACCTGACACGACTGGTATTGTGAGGGAGGATAAAGGAGAAAAGAGGTCAAGAACATTAGGGTGATGATCCAGGTTTGGGCTTGGGACCTGGTGGATAAGCTGGCCATTTATAAGGTGACCTTTTAGTCTCAGCCCCATGGAGCCTTGGACTCTGCAAATCAGTAATAAGGATAGCACACACTTTAAATTGTCCAGAGGTTTATGCATCACTATTACAGCTGAAGGTCTGACCACAGCAGAGGCTTAACACACACCTCAGAACTGGGCTCTCTGGAGGCACTGACCACACTCCTGGGTGTGTTAACTGCGGTTGCTTGCTCTTCAGCCCACCCAAACTCAGCCTTTTCCAAATTCTGCCTCTTGTAGCATCTTTCTAAATCCCACAGATACATGGCGATAGATTCAAAACTTTGAAACGAATAGAGCAGATACCTCTTGTTTAGCACAGTAGAAAGCAAGGTCTTTCTAGCTCAAATGAGTCTGCAAACTGATGATCTTCCTCTAAGACTCCAGTTCTCAAGGCCCCAACGCCTTGCTTCGTGTCATCAATTTTTTTTTCTTGGAGGTGTGGTGTTTTGACAAGATAAGAGTCTGTATATTAGCTCACAGAGTTTCAGGTAAAAAGATTTACATCTCGGCTGCTGCCTCATGAAAAAAGCCAGCAGTTCCTCAGAGAGGCAGGCTCTCATTGGCCACTCTGTCCTGGTGCTAGGAGTCAGGGTGAGGAGAGCAACATGGAAGAAAGGTAATTTTCTGATTTAAACAGAGATGATCAGAACAGTCAGGACTGAACAAAGGGACACCTCTATTGGTCAACATTTCAGTAATTCTATCTAGGGTACTGGATCAACAGTTAGCAAGGGAGCACACTGTGCCCTTGCTTGTTACCACGGTTTGGAGCACTTTTAAAGCTGTTGGGCCAGTGTAGGCCATGCTCTGGCAATGTACCTGATGGGCACAGAGCTCCATGAGTTCCAGACCATTGGGTACAAGAGCTCTACTTACCACATCCAGTGTTTGCTGTCAGTTCTCTCCGCATGCAGGCCTCTAGGACCGCCATCTTCTTGAATGCACCTCCAGAATCCTCCTGCTCACCCACTCCACATACCTACATTCCTGGCTGAGCCTTTATCTCCAAAGGCTGCAGGGAACCAGCCAGCCATGACATCACATGGTTCTGATCTCATTACTTCACCCCTCCCACTGCTCAATGGACAGCATTGAAGGTCACACAGAACAATCTTTCCAAAAAAAAAAATAAGATTTTATTGTCTTAGATGCAAATATAGTTTTAAAAATGCATTGTAGTGTTGGGTACAGCTGGTGGAAACGTGCTTGTCAACAGCAGGCTTCAGGAGGACCACGCTCAGGGGAGCAGCCCCAGGGATCTCTGGTAGAAGTGAAACCCACCCTACCCCAGGAATAGCTGCCTCCTCAAAGGTGCCCTATACCATCACCAAAGCACACAACATACACTTAGCCTGTGCACGGAAGCTGAAACTTGAAGAACGTGAAGGAGAACATGCTGGGGCGCTACAGAGCAAGCAAATAAGCCTGCTTTCCCTTCATGGGGTGAAGATTCAGGTGACAAGGTGCCTAGGGGGAGGGGTACTGGACTCCCCCAAGAGGGACATAGCCTAGCTGAGGCCATGAGACCTTTGAACCTGCAGGATGTAAACTAGGAAATAGATATATAATCAGCGTCTCCCGCCTTCCACAGTCTCAGTGTTCAAGATGCCAGATCCTGTTCAGGAATCTCAAACGAGCTCCAAATTCACTATGCCCGGAGCTATAACGGTGGAACCAAAGTTTGACAGGGAGATATAGGTGAATTCTACTAAATAACTGGAAAGGAATTTTACAAAAATAAAATTCCACCAAGTAAACACACGCATGCACACACACACAGGCTTGAGCAAGTGCGCATGCACACACACGCTAACATTCACTGTGGAAAGTTCCCTTTTCTTTCCCGAAGGTTGAACCTTACAAGCTCTGACAAGCAGACGCCCTATCTAGGGAACAGAGGCCCATTCCTTAGAAGGAGCTGGTAGCTTGACCTGCTCTTGCCCTTATTTGAAGTGGCACGGGGTGGGGGCTATTTCCTAAGGCTCTTCTCACACTCCTGCTGTCTCCCACCTGCTGTCCTTAAGATCGCAAAACCTGCTGAGGAGATCCTGGCCGAGGTGTGTGCTGAAGGGACACATTCCCCACATGCTTCACACTCTGTGCCTTCACACTCTTCCACAGCAACACAACTGCTGGTGTCCTCTTACACTTGCACAGACCCAGGACTCGTCCTCAGAAACAGGACACCAAGGGGCTAAGCCCAAAGTTGTACTTCTCTGAAATACAAACATTCTAGGTGACTGTTCCTGTATCACTGTCTACACACCTTGCCAACAAGACTACAGATGGCACGGAGAAAAACAAGTTCCATGCACAGTGGTGGCTTCAACTGTGCCCTGTATCTGTTCATCTAGAAAGAGGACATGTCTACCTCCCAGAAAAGAAAAGTGAGAGGCCCACATATACCCATGTTCTCTTAAGTGAGACAGAGACCCTTGAGGAACCAGGTTAGGATGAACAGAAAGGGATTTCTGACATTGGAAGGAAGACAAGAGCCAGGAGGTGAAAGGAGCTGACCCCTGAAGCCAGGTGACCCAGCAGCCACAGTATCCCAACACATCCAAGAGGGGTTGCTGGCCACTGGCAGGTGTGGTGCCACCTGCCACTGAACTCTACCAGAAAATGCATGCCACGTCCCCTAAGAATCTAAGTGGACATCATTCTTAGGGCATAGAACCCTAGAGGACACATCTCTAGGTATGTCTGGGGGAGGGGGCATAAGTGACAGCACACAGACAAGATCCAGGGTTCATGATTAGGCCACATGAGAATTCGTGCTGGCTGACCACTTCCAGCCACTTCAAGACCCAGTATGTCAACATCAAGTCCTGAAGCTGTCGTGCTTCCCCTGTGCTGTGTGAAACCACTGGAGCAATCCTAGCCTTGGCTTCTGAGGGTAACAGCTGGTGCATAACCTTCTGATAACTTTGAGGAAGCACTTTAGCCAAAGCTACCCTGCCTCTGCAGTTCCCACTCATAGTGAAAGAACAGGCAGAAGATGTGCTGATGGCTTGTTCAGATTTCACAGAAACACTTGCAGAGATTTCCCAGGTGGCTTTGTGGTTTCTCCTTTTTGGCCGATATTCTTATTCGCCAAAGTGCCAACATTTTGAAATTTCTTCTGTGTGAGTGGGGACAGGAATGGGAATGAAAATAACTGTAAACAAACCCCAGCTGAACAGTGTGGTCAGCGCCCAGAGGTCTCGAGACCCCAAGCAGAATGGCCTTGGCTATTCCCAAATGCTGACCTTGGCGTCCAGGACAGAAGTCAGGGCCAGGACCCTCTGATTGGACAGGTTCATCAGGCAAGATTTCAAAATAAGAAAATCTCCAAGGCAGAAATAATCACTCCTGGAGGAGACTTTAAAGCGCTATGGCCTCGTAGCCACGGCAAAGGTGAGCACCAAGAGAGAGGAAATGGGGTCAAAAACAAAACAAACATGCACCTAATAAAGTCTGCACACACACACACACACACACACACACACACACACACTTTTTCTCTCTCTCCCACCCATCCCTCCCTCCCTCTGTCACCCCAGTTTCACACAAACTAACAACAGCCTTAAACATCTGAGGAAACAGGATGAAATTAACTCAGCAAAAAGAAGAGGTAGGCCAGAGAAGCAAAAGGCCAATCTTATACCCCATAGAGTTTTAAAAACAAGGTTACTCCCCTACAAGGGGAGGAGAGAACCAAAAGCCCTGCACAGCCATGCTGTGGCCTGTGTCATGTGGCATGGGAGGAGGAAGGGCTGGGCTTCTCGAGACCCTCACAGCAGCGGTTTAGTTTTTCCTTCTTACCACAGTGGCCTTCACCTTCTAAAGGACAATTTCACTTTGTCCTTGGGAAAAGAAGGGGTGCCTGGTGGAAATGCCAAGGTCCAGCCTATATGCCTTGTATTCTTCCCTCAACCTGTAAACATGTTTTGCAGGACGGCTGAGGAGGGCCACCAAGCTATTCCCATACAGGACAGAAATTAGACAATGGTGCAAGCAATTGGTTAACGGCTTGCAGCATAAATGCTGACATGGCCGGCAGCCCCTACCCTTTCTTTGTCCTCCAACTACCTAGTCCAGGGCAGGCTTAGGCATCAGCAGGAGCTTCCAAATGGGGACATCCTGGGCTCCCCTCTTCACGTGGTCTTCTCAGGACAGGCAGCATGGTGAGGCAAGGCCAGGAGGACAGAGTCCAAGAAAAAGCCTGCTGCCTGCTCTAGGTGTCACAGCAGGACAAAAAAAGCACATTCTTCCGGGAGGCGCCCTTTACCGGGCTCCCTGAGTGCTGCAGAGTACCTCACCACCTGCGGCATCTCAGAGGCAGCGAAGAGAAGGACGAGGGTCAAGTCCCCCCTTCCCCTAACCTTTCCATGTCTCTACCATCTGTAACACACATTGGGACACTAGAATCTTCAGACACCTGTCACCCTCCAAACGCCACTGGTTCAAATCTAAGCACAGCACTTCACCAGCTAGCCTGAAGATAGCTTCAAGGCTGACTCCTCGACATCTTGTCTTGACAGCATTTTGTTTCTTCCTCCTCATACAAGAAGAGACAGACTTAAGTATGATGACATCTTTGGTCTGAACTGTCTTGGTTTGGACCTCCAGCTAAACTTCAGATAAAAGACCAGGATGACAGCAGCATCATGGAGTGTGACCTTTGAATGTTAAAACCAAGGGTGACACCATCCCAGGAGTGCATATGCCTCTCCCACAACTGCAGAGTAGAAGTGGGTGGAGAACAGGCACAGAAGCGCCCCAACTGTGAGGCCTTAGAGGGTCCAGGCTGAGGCCCTAGCAATGTTGAAACATCACAGCTACTGCAATGCAGACAGGACTAAGACACAGACAAGACATTGCCTGGGGAGGTTCTGAGCCAGCACAGCAGCTTTGCATGGCTGGTGCCTTCATCCTGTCCAGTTGGGCTCCATGTCCATTATTTTCCATGTGTGCTCAGGGGTTGTGGAGAAGATTTCCCCTTCAATAGAATACACTAGGGAAGTGGTACACTGCTTTCTGCAGAGGTTGGAACAGTAACCCAGAGGATTAGGTGCTGATGGGGTTGCAAGAGATGGGAGAGACTTCACTGCTGCTACGGAGGGCAAAAAGTGTGCAGAGGTTGCCAGGGGAGCACAAGTAGATACAGATGTGACAGGAGCCAAGTCTTGAAGTCTCAAGAAAGGAATTCTGAAGGACCTGAATGATCCCACCTGCAGCAACAGGCTTTGTCTCCTTGGCTTGCACTTGTTGGCCCTGGACCCCAATACAACACCAGGAGGACAAGACTGGAACAGCCGATGTTTCCCTTTGTCTGGGCCACCCCAAATGCAGGGGAGACTGATGATTGAGGTCACGGAGTAGGAGGTCACAGCAAAGGTTCCCAAGATGGGATACTGCTGTTGGCAGGCCTCAAACCTGCCTCAGACCTGAGCACAGCATCCTGACAGCTGCAATGGGCCACTGGAGTCAAGGGCAGCCCTGAGGCGGTGTGTCAGGAAGGGTATGAGGGGGATCTCCAGGCATCTCATGCAGCCACATGCCAACTAAGCTTAGGACTCCCCTGATCTCTTGCCAATCCTGGTAACGGCCTCTGATGCTTGCTCTGGCAGCTGGGATGGATCTGTCAGGATGGAGGTGGTGGTACTCAGCTGTCGGAGGGTACTCAGTACCACTGTGAGAAGAGAAGGCCGTAATCAGCCAGGCACACAAGACTCAAAATGACAGGATGCAAATCTCACACATGTGACCCTATGCAGTGATTCCCAAGCACCAAGGATGATGGCCAGAGCTCAACAGCAGGGAAGAGTGACAGGAGCCCTATTCTGGGACCAGTCTCACAGCCTGCCTGTGCACATCCTAGCAGGAGCTGCAAGAAGCCCAAGGATTCTAAGCTATTCCTGCTGCCACAGTGTTGCACCTGCTGTAATACTGAACTTGTCTAACGTTTATATACAGTTGTAGATTTAGAACTAAGGAAGAACTTAAATAATAAAGCACTAAATTCACCTAAAACAGTCTGGCAAATGGTAAATATTCAGTAAGTAAGTTGGATCTGATCAGACTGTCAGGTCTGCTGAGAGGAAGACAGCTCAGAGACCCATGCTGGCCCTTACAGCTTTTCAGGTTCCAGGATTCCCCTTCAGTGTTATATCCTCATGCCTCTTGCATGGCCGGCCTGGCTTTGTGCAGTAGAGTCTAAACTTTCCTAAACACTGTCCAGGTAAGGGCTTTTCTCCCTCCAGGACCTCATCAAGTCCCAAAGTCTGGTATTCCACACTCACTTGGCCTGAGGACAGGCAAAGAGCAGTGCTGGTCCAGCCAGGAAAGTGCCGTCCGGTGGAACTCCTCCAAGCTGCTGGTGGACACCATCCCCTTGAAAGACTCAAACAGTGGCTTGATGATCATGCTGAACTGCAGGACTTAGGTTAAGGAAAAGGTGAACATGGAGGAGGGCTAAGGGGCATACAGATAAAGGCAGGCTCAGGCAAGCCAGGCTTACTGCTGACTTTCCTTCTGAATAACTGCCTACAGAATACTGATCAGAGAGGAAGGGACAGATCAGTTGTTGCTAGGCAAGATGTGCCCATCATGAGATCAAGCTATGAATGACCTTTGAGTGGACAGAAGATAGAAAAAGCAAGTATCTTCAGCCTCACACAGGGGTAAGGACAATGAGGTGGACATGAGACCATAGGTCAGTCAGATACAGGAGACAGCTGTGTGGAAGAGAGGAGACGTGTGTGCTGGCAGGAGCATGGGAAGCACACAGCACTCACAGCAAGGTGTCTGTCTGAAGCTGGAGCCTGACTTTTGTGTTAGGCACAGCCTGCAAGCTCACCACCTGCTGCAGAGCTCCCCAAGAACCTAGGATGGGCCCAGTGAAGATATAAATGTTTCTCTTGAATTCTGATGCCATAGTATCAACCCCAGCCTAGTAATGTGGAAAAGGTCACTTTGTTGAAGCAGTTCTGACCCATGTCATATGCCACAATGCCACCAGGCTCCACTAAAAGCAGAAAGTAAGATAGCAAAGCAAATCTGGGAATGAGGCATGCCAGCTGCCGTCTCGAGTCAGGCTACAGGCTCGACTGACAGAGTTCTTACCTAGGTAGTAGTATGAAGTCTTGAGACTCATCCTCAATAGTAATAAAATTATAAATACACAGATAGGAATGGTGTACACTTAAAAGGAAGAGGCTATGCAGCACTGCACTACAAAGCAAGTTCCAGCCTACACTATAAATTCAGACTGTCTCAAAAATCAAACAGAATATAGACAGTCTCTGAAATGCAAACATCCACACAAAGACACTACAACAGTTTCTCTCTCTCTCTCTCTCTCTCTCTCTCTCTCTCTGCTTCCTCTGTTTCTATACAACTGTCTTTCCTACTGATTGGCCTATGGTCCTACTATGGTCCTATGCTGTCCATCTTCTCAGAGCAGGGTTGCTGTGGCTCAGGGAGGCAGGAATCATCCGGTAACAGGAGTGCTGCCACCTCAAAGGCTGAGGTCAGAGCAGCTGCGGTCAGAGCACAGGTCCTGGCACCTGGGTGGACATACTTGTTCGGTTACTTAAGACCAGGGGACACTAAGGCAGAGAAAAGTCTGAGGTAATAGGTTCCAAGCCCTGCCTATAGTTACTTCAGAGGCTGATGCAGAAGCCGTGTTTGAGCTCAGGAGCTCAGGGTCATCCTGGGCAGTAAAGGCCTTTCTCTCAAGAACAAAACAAGGGCCTACATGGCTTGGCAGTTAAGAACGTGTGCACTGCTGTTGTAGAAGACTCAAGTTCAGTTCCTAGCACTTGTGTCAGCAGGCTCACAGCAGCCTCTGACTCCAGCTCCAAGGGAGCTGACGCCTTCTTCAGACTCTTCAGGCACTTTTGTACTCAATTCGCACATTTATACGTAAATTCAAAAATAATTTAAAAACCCACAAATTTTGATGAAGGAGTAGGAGGAGGAAGAAAAAGAAGAATTAAAATTGAAGAAGAAGAAGAGGAAGAGGAGGAGGAAGAAGAGGAGGAAGAGGAGGAAGAGGAAGAAGAGGAGAAGGAAGAGTAGGAGAAGAAAAAGAGGAGAAAGAAAAGGAGGAGCTGGGCAGTAGTGGCATATGCCTTTAATCCCAGCACTTGGGAGGCAGAGGCAGGTGGATTTCTGAGTTCGAGGCCAGCCTGGTCTACAGAGTGAGTTCCAGGACAGCCAGGGCTACACAGAGAAACCATGTCTCGAAAAAATAAAATAAAATAAAATAAAATAAAATAAAATAAAATAAAATAAAATAAAATGAGGAAGAAGAAGAAACATCACCACTATCACCTGGGGTTTGGCTACTCATCAATGCAATAAGCCCTGGTTTCTATCTAGGGCTCACCCTCTCTGTCAGTGAGGGGACTGAGCTGGCTGGTAGGCTGGCAGGACCCCTCCTTCTCACCTTGCTGCCTCAGGAGTAATCTAGCTGCCTTTGTTTGCCAAAGACCTTGAAAGTAGAGCAGGCCATCTGCCTCCCTATCCCTGAAAAGCTCTTGGATGTGGTCTCCCCAGCCCCTAGGGCCAGCCTAGAGCCTTTTCTTCTCTGAGACAGAAAATAGCACTGCCAGTCCTGAGTCACTGATGACTATGTGAGAACCTTTCTTCAAGGGGTACCCAAGAGCACTGTCTACTATTTTAGTGTGTTCCCTGGGGAAAGAAAGAGCAAGGAAAAAAACCAAAGATACAATCCAGAATTTCCAATTCTGCAGGATCCTGCTTTTCACATATTCATCAAACATGTCTTTCATGTGGTCAAACTGGCGGCAGTTGATAGGGACTCCTGTGGCAGGTAGCAGCTGTTGGCAGGAGCTGAAACAACAGTAATCCGAGGATGCTATGGGGTAGCTGGTGATAGAGGGGGACTGGGGGACCATACAGGAAGGATAAAGTCAGAGGCCCAGGGGAGGAGGACAAGAAACCAAACTGCTGTAATACAGGTAGCAAAGGCCACAAAGGGTCCCCTCTGCTTTCTGAAACGTGTGGGGTGAAGGACTCAAATGGAACCTCACATGATGGTGGTGTTAAGCTCCTCAATTTCCTCCCGCAATCTCCGGGCCTCCTCTTGCATCTGCATCCGCTCCTGTTGCAGCTTGGTGATGTACTCCATGGTCTTCTGCAGTGTGATGGCATGGCTGGTCTGTGGAGAACAGGTAGCTGAGAGGTGGCAGTACTTAGCTGGTACTGACACACAGGAATGGTGCACTATCACCATGTCTTGGCACTCTCAGGGAACTTACCTGCTTGGAATTATTGGAGATCAAACTATTCAGGGTGTTAAAGCCCATCCTAATATTGAAACGCCTTTTCTGTTCAGCTGAGATGTGCTTCTGCCGGTTCTATTAGGGGAATCAATTGGTCACTGAGACACAATCCAGGCTTTACACAACCAACTTGTTCTTCCTCACTGCCTAAAACAATGCTGAGAAGCTCAAGAAAGACTGGTGTCTTGGGGCACATGACCAGCAAGCCAGGCCCAGAAAACTGAAGGAGAGGCAAATGGCTAAAAAGCTCTAAGAGGGGCCAGTGAGGAGTAGGCAGGGCTCACAGGTAGGAAGCACTGTGTGCTCTTCCCCTGGCTTCCAGATTCCCTACTTCTCTACAACCCAGTGTTTGCAGGCCTGCCTCCTTACAACTGGTGTGGCCAAGGCTGCATGGAGCCCAACCATGGCATAAGGACTCTGGGCCCAGGGCCCAGGTGGGTCCCTGGGCCCAGGGTGCCCACCCAGAGCTCTCAAAAGGCCTTAACCTTCATGGGATTGTTGGTGGGATGGGAAACAGTTGGAGTCAATTTCATCTTAGTGTTTCCAGGTTGCAACATGAGCTGGGTCTGTGGCTGTCCTTTCCTGATGTTTTCTTCCCTTCCCAAAGGAATCAAGATCCAAGAGAAGTAAGCCATACCTTTAATGCAGCCACATTTTTGGGGTCTGTAGATTTCCCTGAGCAGTTGTTCTGGGGTGACTGAGGACTGGGACTTTGTTCTGACGGGCACGGAGAAGCTTGGCCTGAGTTGGGGCAGTCACGACCTGAGAAGAAAATGCTCTCAGCAGGCAAGCACTTGAGAAGGTGACTGGAAAAATATGAAGTGAGCCTGCCTGTCCTGTCCTGTCCCCACAGCTGTCCTCAACAACCAGAGGGACTCCAGCAAGTCCTCAGGCTTAGAAGTCCATTTAAAACCTTCTGTAGCTACTCCAGAGGAAATAGTAGAGAAACCCTTGCCCATAGCCCAAAGGGGAGTTGCTGTTTCCAAGGCAACACCTGAGACAGGAAGTTAGACATAGAATATGGTTGAATTCCGCCCCATTCCAGGTATCGAATTGCTTAGAGGAAAAGTTGAACTGCCAACCCAGGTCCTAAATTGGCACCTCAAGGCAGCCAGGGCCATTAGAGGCTTTTAAGGCAATAACTCCTAGGTCATGTGCTCAGCACACTGGCATGACTTTACTTTTGTTCTCTAAATTCTACATATTTACTTTCTCTCACTCACTGTGAAAACGTTAAATAAAAAGTACTACCACCTTTTGACCCACACAGGCTTCTGTCCCATTCACTGCTGTCTCTTGGGGGTCATTTCCAAGGTCCTCTTAGAATGTCCCTAGCCCGTTTCACTTTATTCTATCAAATGCTTCCAGCTATTTAATTTTCTCCTGGATTACCAGGCTTCAGTGCACATCTCTGAAAGTTGTGCGCTGCAGTCCCACAGGCAAGGGCAGCATCCTCTAGATAATTTTAGAAAATTGACTTATGTCTTAAGTCTGTATCTTTCCAGACTGAAGAGTCCCATTCTTCAAAACCTTCTATTGGACAAGTTCAATAATTCCTCTCAGCTGGAAACCCTTCCTTAGTCCTATCTTCCCAAGTAATTCCTTCGGGAGTAACCATGATTTTAGCTAAGAAAAGGGATTAAGGTGAAGCACAGTGACAGACTGTGTACAGATATGTGCATGTTTCCAGATCCCTTCCGAGTTATGACACTGGAAGAAACCCGAGTTCTACCTGCAGCCCAATACTGATGTTACAGGACTTCTAGCCCCTGACCTTTGACTCTACAAGTCAACAGGCAAAACCAATACTGTCCTGACTGTCCTCAGTGTAAGATGTGAAAACGGCCACAGACTTGCAGTAGTTTAGAAACTAGGACGGAAGATGCTGTGACTAGGAGCCTGCTGCTGGTTTCATGGCTACAGCAACCCCAGCCTTGAGTTTTCCAGACTGTGGACAAGAACTATTCAGTTCCCTTTCTGGATGGAACTGGCTGCTGCAAGCCAGGTCTTCTGAGTGTGGTTCCCTGGGCATACTAGCTACCCTGCTTTGGTGGTTTCCTTGGTGTACTGGCTCCCTTGATGTGACATGCCTGCCTACCACCCTCTCCTCCTTTTCTGCTGGTGCGGCCACAGCTTCCCAGTGAGCATTTCCCCAGACTGTGCTAGGAGCTGACAGAAGGTTCTGTAGGCCCAGCTTGCTTATGGGAACCTGTGAATGGCCTCCCCAACCCAGAACAATCAGCTTATTCTCTACAAAGCCCCGACGGCCCCACTCAGGTGAATACTCACTAGAGCCTGTGGCAGGGACCTGGGGACTACCCCCATGCAGTGAGACCTGCTCGCCCTTCACCAGGGAGTCTTGCACTGTACTTGGAGAAAAGAGCCGAGAGACAGGGCTAGGCTGGCTGCTCGTGCTGTGGCTGAGGAAATCTGTGACTCCAGAAGCCTGTGGAGACACAGCAGAGAGGTCTTGTACCACTGATGTAGAGCAGAGCCGAGCAGCTACACTGGCTGAGAGCCACACAAACAGGTCACTCTAGGGAGACCAGAGGACACTAGAGGATTGCCTAGGCCAGCTCTCTTACCCTGGTGATGGCAGCAGAAGCAATGACCACATTGGATGGGGACACAGTAGATGCCAGAATCCCTTCTCTCTTCAGAGGAGCTGATGTCATGATCACCTTTTGTGGTTGGCCTGAGAAGGCAGCTGTAGGATGAAGAGCTGTGGAGGTAAAGGCCTGACCCTGTAGAGGCCTGGCTGTTACTAACAAAACTACTAATCTGCAGACATCCAGGAAAACCAAGGCGTCCCATACCCTGCTGGGGAAGCGTGTGGCTCCTCACCAAGGGGGCAGGGAGACAAAGCCCCAGGGAACCTCAAACATTTTTGTACTTTTTACTTCAAAGACTAATACTATAACCCCCAAAAGAGACACTCATGACCAAGTGTTCTCAAATCATGTTTTCAAGACTCTTATTTTTATTTACTTTAGCTTCTAAATTATATTTTATTTATTCTGTGGTGTGTGTGTAGGCATGCATGTGGCATGGTACACATGTGGAAGTCTGAGGACACCTTGTAGGAACTGATTCTCACCTCCCACCATGTGGATCCCGAGGATGGAGCTCTGGCTGTTAGACTTAGCAGCTAGTGCCTTCACTTACTGAGCCATCTCACCAACGCAATTTTAGCTTCTTTAACTGGGGTCTCATTATATAACCTTGGCCAGCCTAGGACTTACTCTGTAACTCAGACTGGTCTCAAATTCAAATTCTTCCTGCTGCAACCTTTCAAGCACTGGGTTTACAGGTATGGGTCACCACACCCAGATCAAAACTATAACTACTTTTAAAACATACAGAATAGAAAGATAAATTGCAGGCCGGGCGTTGGTGGCGCACGCCTTTAATCCCAGCACTTGGGAGGCAGAGACAGGCGGATTTCTGAGTTCGAGGCCAGCCTGGTCTACAGAGTGAGTTCCAGGACAGCCAGGGCTACACAGAGAAACCCTGTCTCGAAAAACCAAAAAAAAAAAAAAAAAAAAAGAAAGATAAATTGCCACATATGAATTACCCATACTGCTCTGTTCTATTTAAATGGGAGGGAGGGGTTGCGAACTGAAAGCCTCAGAGAGAGGGAAGCTCCCTAGGCACTGCTGGCTGGCTCCGCCCCCAACAACTCACCTGGAGCAATGCAGGCATTCTTCAACACCAAGGAGACAGGCTCAGGTTTGGGAGCAGGCACTATTTTGGGGGGCTGTTTGTGTCTCACTCCAGTCAAGGACACAGGTTTAGGGTGTATAAAAGTTAAATGAGGTTGAGGGGGTCCCACAGCTGGTGGCTGGGGTACAGGTGACAGTGCCAGAGCACAGGGCGATGAGGAGGGGGCTGGATGGTGTGCTGTGATGACAAGGCCCTGGCTCTGGCTGAAGGTGGTGGCAGAAGCGTCATGGGTCAGGGTTGCAGAGGCTGTGTGAGTAATGACAGGGGTTGATTTGCTGACTCCAGCAAACTTCTGTGGCTGCAGGAAAGCTGGTGAAGTTGGGGGGTTCAGAGTAGTGGCAGGCGGAGGAACTAAGGGCAATGCAGTTGGAACAGGTGCTGGGGCAGGGCCAGGGGAAAGTAAGGTCATAGTAAAGACGGGGAGGAAGGGCTGTGGGACACTCAATGGTGGCTCAGAGGGACCAAAGTCTGCAGGCTGAATAAATGGGTCCACGGGTTGAGACGTGCGTTCACAACCCTGCCTCTCTGTGGGATCCAGGGAGGGGGCTGCAGAAGATTCAATGAGGCTATTGGGCAGGCTCGCAGGAGGGAGAGCTGTATTTGGCAAGATGTTCCCCTAAGGAAGGAAGAGACATGAAGAGACAAAGGTACAAGAGCTGAATAATTAGCTTTAACTGTTTAGTTCTACATAGCTCAACTGTGGACATAGGGACCGAGGGACTGAGGGATAGAAGTGCTATCTCCCACTGCTAGGCTGGGGAAATGGATCTGTGTTCCCGGGTGTTAGCAAGGGTCTTGTTTCCATTAGGAACTAATGATAACACAGAGCTCAGACAAAGCTGGATAGCACCCTAGGGATATCTGGTTTCCAGAGTCTAGTCAAGGTCTACCCACAGTCCCTGGTATCTTCTGTTACAGGGCAGAAGCAGCCTAGATCACAGCTGCTCGGGGTTCCCCAAGGACGGCATCAAGTATCGACTTCCAGTCAGACTAGCTCTTCCTGAGTGGAAAAGCTATGAGGAATCACCTGTACAGACTTCACTCTCTACAGAAATGACTATCTGCACTAGGTGGGGAAGGTGCCAGGTTACTGGGTGACTAACTGAATACAGCACGAACTTGAGAGCTCCCCAGGGCAGAGAATTATGCCTCATTCAGCTCTTAGCACAACACCTGCAAGTGCCTTTTATTAACTGCTAGGTCAAAAGTAATAACAATATACAACATATTTTATTAGTGATCCATAATTTTGTTCTGCAACTAAACTTGTCTTAGAAAAGAGCTGGCTGAACAAAGTTCACCTTTGCAAAGTGGACCTTATGCAGGGAAACAACTCTGTTGGCATAGTCTCCTGCCTTACGGGGAGCTAAGGATGCTTTCAAAGAAGGTTCCATAGTTTCTTTGCACATTTGTGTGTATTCACCACTGGATCTAGCAATGGCCCCAGAATATGGTTAATTCGTAGTTACAGCATTAGCCTAGCTCTGGTTGTAAAGTCTGATGATAGCCCTGTACCTGCCATGCCTGTCCCCAGCTTCCTCTACCTGAGAAGGTGGGCTGCTAGGATCTGGGGCAGGTACTGATGTAGGAGGAGGCAACACGGAGCCAAAAATGGACCGGCTGGAGGAGAAGAGATCTGAAAAAGAACATGAGAATCTTGTGAACTCCATGAATTTAGCATTTTCTGGAATTATGAACCAAACCCCACCTCCCCGAGATAACTTTTTCTATAGAAAGAGGACTCTGACTGAACTACCGAGAGCTTCCAGGCTCTTCGAGGAGCTTGATCTAAAGACAGAAACTTTGCTGCGTGGCGGTTGTGTCACAGTGCCCTCTGCTGTCTACTGGAGGAACTGCTCACAACCAAGGCCAAGTAGATGCTCCCAGCACGAAGAGGGCGCCCGCCCACTCTGAGATGTCAACTTCCTTCCTATGTCCCAGGAAACCTTTCCAGGCTTTGCAGTTACTACCAAAATAATTTTCCGTTTTAAAAAATTATAAGCCCTCCCTTTACACCGATTTCCAACTGTTCTCTCTCTAACAAGGGCACAAGCCTGAAATGGGAGGGGCAAGGGAGATCCAAGCATCATGTTACCCTCTGCCCTCACCCTGGAAAGGTTCAAAGGTGTCCATGAAGTCCAGGTTGGGTTGCAAAGGGATCAGGCCTGGTTGGATCATGTCTGCATTTCCCAGATGTGCTGCAATAATTACAAGTGAGAGAGGGGAACACTTTTACTTCAAATAAGGTCAAAGTAACATGTACATTTAGTTCTGAACAGATCCTCCTGGCCCTCCTAAAAAACTATAGAAAGCTGGCTAGGATTTCTACATTCTCAGGGGTTTGTGGCCATTCTTAGATATGTTCTCTCTACCCTTAGACAACGGCTAGGCTCATCATGAGCTATGAGCTATGAGTAGCCCCAACCTTCCACCCCACGACCCTCTGTCCTTGTTTTCACTTTCATCTGCAGCTTCTCCCTGAGGACTCAGAAGACTGAAGGCCTCCACGTGGGAATGTCATGCACAGTAGTGCTCACCCTATAGCCGAGGCTTTGGCACTGACATATCCCACACTAAGACAGTATCAGAAATATAAAACGGGTCTGGATCAGAGCCTGCTCCTTTCTCACAGTGGACTAAAAGAACAATGACCAGCCCTGTAAGGCTCCAATTCCAGTCTCCTCCTATGCAACTCACAGGACCCTCAGATAAAGAGCTTGGGCAATCCTTTCCTTTTCTTGCCTAGCCTAAATAAGTGCCATCCAGCAGCTCAGAGGTGCTCTGAAGCAAAGCCTGGCCTACAGGAATCCTCACAGAGAAAGATGCCAGCTGTCCAAGGACAGAGACTACAGTTACCTATTTCTCGTGGGTTGGGCCAGGCCACTGGTTGGTGTGAGGAAAGTGTGGAGAAAAGGGTGTCGCTGAACTCTGACATGAGCATGTCTGTGTCCAGCAGTGAGTCCTCCTCCATGGGCACTGGGGTTTTCCAGCCGTCCCCATGTTTATGCCAATACAGCATGTCATCATCCTAGTGCCAACAGGGAAGAAGAATCAAAGGGCCGTTCAGTCTACCTTCTCAGTCCTGGCACGCATTAAAGGGTTGCTTTTTGAAAAAAAGGGCAGGAGGGTAAAGGCATTGAGAACTATTCCTTTAGTCCACCCACCAGAGGGTGCCTCCATGTGAGATGCTGACCCTGTGTCTGGCCTCCCACCTCAGGACTTTCTTGGGGCACAGGAGTTCCTGCTGCATCTTGTCAAGACAGGGCTCTCAAGCTCACTCACCTGGGCCAGGCTGGAAAGGTCCTCATCCTTGTGCTGCTGCAGCTGTGGGCAAAGGGAGCAAGATGAGGCAGCCACTGAGAGCTCTGGGATGCCCTATATGTGAGTGAGCTCTGGGGTGCCCCAACCTCATCTCCTGTATGTGAATGAGCTCTGGGGTGCCCCAACCTCATCTCCTGTATGTGAGTGAACTCTCTGGGAAGTGAGCTGGGGAATGGATCCTGCTGGCTGCCATCCCATGGATGTGGGCACAAAGAAGGAAACAGGTCTGTTTGTGACTGAGGAAACCATGGCCACTACTTGGTGCTTAAAAGGCTGAGTACAATATTGTTCCATGCTTCGTGACTGACGGGGCAGCTGTGGAGCCTAGGGTCTCAGGCCACTTCCAAATATAGTCCCATTTTCCATCTACCCAACTCCCAACCCCCACCCCAGAGCTTCCAGAACATGCTCTTTTGAGAGTCCTTGCCAATATATACCCTTTTCTTGAAGTAGGTTCTCCACTTGTGGTATTCCCGGATCACAATCTCAATTCGACTTTTCCAGTATTTGCCCTCTGTGGTGATGGCCTACAACCAAGAGGCCAAAATGAAAAGCAGGTCTTGGATGATGATCAAATCTCAGTCCATGAATACCCAGTATACATCACTGAAGTGGCCTCAGATGGTTCTTGTGGTCAGAAAAGTCCCATGCTGTTTGAGAAACTACAGCTTCACTCACTGGGCACACCTCTTCTCACACTCTAGCTAATAATATATCTTCCACATCCATGATACCAAGGGTGACTCTGCACAAGGGTGACTCTGGGTACAGGGTAAGCAGCACACAGCACTCAGACAGAGAGGTAGCAAAGATGATCTTCCTCCTTCCCCAGGGATGCTAAGGAAATTCACAGGTGGCCCTCAAATGCCCCTTTCCAGTAGCATCTGCCATTTCTCAAAGAGTGAAAATGAGGGCTAGTGAGGAGTGGGTAAAGGCACCTCCCATCAACCCTGATGACCTCAGTGTGATCCCTGGGACCCATGTGGTGAAAGGCAAGGACTCTCAAAAGTTGTCCTCTGACCTCCACATACAGGCTGTGACACATACAGACACATACACACTCCTAATATAAAATGTTTTAAATGTACTCTTTTGGGGTAGGAGGCACAGCCTGACGGTATAGAACTCGCCTGATGTGTCAGAGACCCTCTGACCTCCACATACAGGCTGTGACACATACAGACACATACACACTCCTAATATAAATGTTTTAAATGTACTCTTTTGGGGTAGGAGGCACAGCCTGACGGTATAGAGCTCGCCTGGTGTGTCAGAGACCCTTTAGTGGTACTAAAACGATAAGACAACATAAAAATGAGCTGCTTTCTTTAATCTCTTTTCATCTTTTAAGTTTCTGTTTGGTTTTTTTGTTTGTTTGATTGTTTCTTAAGATAGGGTCTCACGAAGTTCAGGCTGGCCTCAAACTCTGTGCGCATTAAGAATGTCCTTAAACTTCTGGTTTTCCTGCCTCTATATCCCAAGTCTTGGGACTGCAGGCTTTTGACACCATGCTCAGTTTGTGTAGTGCTAGAAATGGAAGCCATGGCTTGGTGTGCACTAGGAAAGCACTCTACCGACTAAGCTGTATCTCCAGTTGACGTGGAGATGAGTTCTCCCTAACTTCTAGAGTGGTTGTTTTGCTTGTGGTTCTGGGGATAGAACCTAGAGCCTGTGTGTGCTCTTGATCTGAGTTACAGCTGGGCCTTGACTAACTGCTCCAGGGCCAGTCTTTCCTGAGTAACTCTCAGAAGAAATACCCATTTTAAGTGAACACAGAGAATGAGGTCCCATAAGGTCAGTTTGTCTGAGGATAGCATCTCTGGGGGCTGGAAACTGTTGAAGGCTAGCCCTCCTCCTCAAGGTCATGCTAATAGGACAGCACAGGCTTCCCTGTTCTCTACAGTTTCTACCATAGAGCTTGATCCTTTGGTGGGCTATTTCTTCAGAAATAAAGGCAGTTTTCCTTTCCCAACACCATCCTTCCTACCCTCTACTCAGTCACTTTCTGGTTACATACCTCTGGCCTACGGTGTTCATCTACATCAACAGAGCCATCTAGTGGGGTGACAAAGTGGCACACAGGATTCTTTCGCTTCTCCAAATCTGGGTTGGGAGAAGAGAGACATCATAACTGTACCAAGATCCCTGATGGAGCATGACCCAAATTGCTACAGTCTGGAATTATTTCCTTCTTCCTCTGGAGAAAGGTAGAGACCTCAGAAATGAAAGCATGCAGGCCCAAGGCAACGAATGCCAGTAATATCTAAGCAAGAAATAACAGTGATCATCAGCACAAAGGCAGCCAGTGAGCAGGAGGAGCCTGCCCTGCTCCGGAAGCCTGCATCCTCCCATCCTCAAGCTAGCCAGGGACAAGAGCTGTACAGTGGTATCTATGTCTTCTTAAACTGCTGGAAACAGAAACTGTTCTTTGACTCTTCAAATGTCACCTCTTAGCTACATTCTCCCATCTCTCCTAAAAAGAACCCATTACTCCTTAGGGCCAAGTACCCAGCATGCACTACATACTGTCAGGGTCAGGGTCTCATAGGTCTGTCCTTCAAGACTCTGTGCTGTTAGGTGACTTTGCCTGATGGCTGGTGAATGCCCTGCTCCCTGGGATGTGTTCTAGCTTGATTTCCCATCATACATACTACTTAAGAAAGATTCTACTGAAAATATGTTTTAAGAGCAGGCTATAGACCCAAGATGCTCTGATCTCCAAGGTGTCGAGCTCTGACGCCACAGGACTGAGGCCCTCGGGGCCACTGCCTGACTGGCAGCACTTACACTGCATATACCACGCCCTCCAGATGGCGTTGTTGAGCCGGATCTTGTCCCGCCACTGGAGCTTCAGGCCCTTGAAGTTCTTCCACTTTGGAGACACTAATTTCCCACTGGAAAAGAAAACAAGACAAAGAGAGTTAATGGTTCTTCAGAAAATAAAATGTGAGACCAAATCATTCCAGACTGGAGAACCCTGGGTTGATCCATTTATAGGCCAGTCTTGACAGAACAGTCATTCTGGGATCTCTTTAGAGCATATGGGGATGGTAGGGTGTGACAATATTCAGGCTTAGAGGACATGCTACAGAAAGTGAAAAGACATGGGGTTTCCTGTATTCTTTGGGATCCTGCATACTCTTAAAGTTTCTTATAATAAAACATTGAAAAGATATGTTGCCAGGTATCTTTAATCCGCACACTCAGGAGGGTAGAGGCAGAGGATTGTGAATTCAAGGCCAGCCTAAACTAATACAGATTAACAATGGAAACTAGGCACATTTTTCCCCAACAGGTCTTAGTCCACTTCTTTTGATCTCAGTCACCACTGGCCCATCTCAAGCCATCTGAGAAAGTGATTCCTCTTAGCTGCTCAGAGGTAGCTGCTGGCACAGCAACTGGGAAACTGAACTGCCAGGATGGCTGTGCTGCCAGGGAACTCATGTTGCCTGTTAATAGCCTAGCCAATGAGTGTTCTCAACTTACTGTACAAGAACTTCTTTAGATTTATGTATAAATGTGTGTGGTGGGGGCAGGGATGGAGGGAGAGGGGGAGGGAGAGGGAGAGGGAGAAGGGGGGAGAGAGAGGGGGGAGGGAGGGAG